TTTTTTTTTTATAATGGCCAGTCTAACTGGGGTAAGATGATATCTCAAAGTGGTTTGATTTGCATTTTTTTATCACAGCTCTATTTACAGTAGCCAAGAGTTGGAACCAATTAAATGTCTATCGACGGATGGATGGCTGGGTAAGGAAAATGTGGCATATATACACAATGAAATATTACTCTGCCATAAAAAAGAATGAAATTATGCCATTTGCAGCAATATGGATGAACTTAGAGAAAATTGCGTTAAGTGAAATAAGCCAGGCACAAAAAGAGAAATACCACATGTCCTCACTCATTAGTGGAAATTTAAAAATAAACAAATTTTAAAAAGTAAGAAAGAAAGATACAACAATCACAATAACTTGTTGAACTTTCAAAAGCAGAGAACAGAACTAAGACCACCAGAAGTGGGAAAGGTGGAGGGGGAGGGAGGCTCAGTGAGAAATTGGTAAAGGGCCACAAGAAGTTGTTATATTGTGTAATGTTGAACATACTTAGTATCCTGGTCTGAACATCACATAACGCACACAGGTATTGATATTCGATGCTGTACCTCTCAGATATATACAATCCATTATGTTTCAATAAAAAAAGAAAAGAAAAATAAATAAATAAAACAAGCAAAAATTCAGGAATTAAAAAAAAATAGTGGCAGAGAACATTTAAAACAGAGTAGCTTTTAGTTTCTGAAAATAACAGTCTGAACAGTCTCAACATGCCTTATCATGCCTTTGGGGACAAATAGATGCAGAATTCTGAAATTATTGGATTTTAGAAAAAATGAAGTACTTAAAGCATGGATACAAGCAAGTAAGCATTCTCATTTTCCAGCACTAGAGGAAGACCTTCATTAGTTCTCAGATGTATCTTTACAATTCTTCTAAGTACACTACCCAGCACTGCCGCCAAGGCTTGCCTTTCTATGCTGTATATTTTTCTGTTATCTGACGCTGCTACCTGAGAAGGAGATCCAAGTTCACACCCCAGGTCATCAGAGTCCAGACTTGGCCCTACTGTATACTTTTATAGCTACACAAATAGTCACGCTGTATGTGTGAGCAGATATGCCAGCAAGACCATCTTAGAGTCTATCTACAGTCGCTCAGAACTTCTGGTTAATTTATTGTCCGGTCTCCTCACTACTGGCAATGCTCTATAAATAGATATAGGAACTGTACATTAATACTTACTTATGACATAGGCTTTCAGGACCTGCACCTGGGTCTAAGCTCTGCTTCTAACTACTACATGATGGCAGATAAGTAGCTGAAACTATTTGTATCTTTGTGTCTTCTTATATACAATGGGCATAGTATTATTTGTATACCAATTTTTGAGAGAATTCAATTATGTGATACACATTAAAGGCCTAGAATAGTGGTAACACATGCAGTAAGCTCTCTATGAGCTAACATGGATGTAAGTTCTTTGGGGGCCGAAATTTTGTCTGTTTGCATACTGTCCCTTAGAATATAATCTGGCACAAAATAGGCACAAATAATTCTTTGTTAAACAATTTTCTTCAATGAAAATGTTGGTAGTATTTTGTGGTAGCAGTAATTGATTTTCCTGTTTATTAATTATAAAAATATTTTTAAAGATTTTACTATAACACAGGCACCATTGTAATTGCAGGCACTATAACAACAAATAAAAGACAAAATCTCTGCCCTCATGGTGTAAAATCTACTGGAGACCGGAAAAAAAACTGTGTGTGTGTATATATTTCTATATACATATTTATTCAGAAGATTATGCCTATAAATGTATAAAAGAAGTAAACAAGCAGATTGAGGGACATAAAGTAATAAGAGGTGGTACTACATATGCAGTGGTTAAGGAAGACCTCACTAAGGTAAGATTTGAGTAAAAATTAAGAGAACCATGTGTATATTCAAGGGGGTAATTTTCTAGGCGGAGAGTGCAGCAAGTTAAAAGACCCAGGAGTAGGGGCCGAACTGAATAAGTAAGTATTTTTACAGTATCCAGACCATAAAATGCATTTAAGTCAATTCAAGAACTTTGACTTTTGTTCTGAGTGAAATAAGAAAAGATTGGGTTGTGGGAGGAGTGGAGCAGGCTATGTTTGTTTGTTTGTTTGTTTGTTTGTTTGTTTGTTTGTTTGTTTTGAAAGGACATCACAATCTATTCTGTCTGTTGTTTTAAAAAGATCGTTCTGGCTGCTGTCTGGAAAGCAGACTATAATTGGGCAAGGAGAAAAGTAGGAATATGAGATAGCAGGCTTCAAAATTCCAGGCAAAAGATATTTGGGCCTAAACTGAGGTGGTAACAACAAAGTTAGTGAAAAGAGGACAGAGTCTATATAAGCTAAAAGGTTCAGTCACTGGAATTTTTGCCTTTGCTTTTTTTAACCTTACTTTTTATTTTTACAATAAAATGCATATTTTCAGAAGACTTACAGTGTATATTTTCACCTTGTTAGAGCTTTGCATTTGTAACAGCTCTGTTAAGATATAATTCAAATGCTGTACAATTCGGCCACTTAAAGTGTACAGTTCAATGCTTGGTATATGTTCACAGAGTTGTGGGACCATCACAAAAATCAATTTTAAAACATTTTCGTCACCACAAAAAGACTCTGTACCGATTAGCATTCATCCTTGTTTTCCTCCCATCCACCCCCTGCCACTTAGGCTACTAGAAGTCTAGGTAAACTGAAAAATTAATGTCTTTATAGATTTGCCTGTTCTGAACATTGCATATAAATAGAGTTATGACATTGTGATTTTTTGTGGCTGGTTTCTTTCACTTATTTTCACAAATTTTCAGATTTTACCCATGTTGTAGTATATATCAATACTTCATTTTTTTTATTGCTGAATAATATTCCATTGCATGAATATACTACAGTTTATAGTTTCATTCATCAGTTGATGGACATTTGGGTTATTCAAACTTTTTTGGCTCTTATAAGTAATTCTGATTTGAACATTTGTGCACAGCTTTTTGTGTGGACATACGTTTTCATTTCTCTTTGGTATACACCTAGCAGTAGAATTGCTAAGTGGCTGCACCATTTTACATTCCCACGAGCAATGCATGAGGATTGCCAATTCTCCACATTTTGCCAACAACTTGTTATATCACCTGTCTTTTATATCATCTGTCTTAGTGGAAGTGAAGTGGCACTTTATTGTAGTTTTGCTTTGCATTTCTCTAAAGACCAACAAGGTTGAGTAGCTTTTTGTGTGCTTATTGACTATTTGTACGTCATCTTTGGAGAAATGATATTAACATTCTTTGCCCATTTTTAACTGGGTTATTTGTCTTTTTATTACCAAGTTGTAAGAGCTGCTTATATATTCTGCATGGAATTGCCTTATCAGATATATGATATGCAAATATTTTCTTCCGTTTTAGTTTGTCATTTCACATTATTAATGATGTAGTCTGAAGCATAAACATTTTTAATTGTGATGGAGTCCGGTTTATCTATTTTATTTTGTTTCTTGCCCCTTTTTTGTCATATCTAAATAGGAATTTCCTAGCCCAATGTCATGAAGATTTACTCTATGTTTACCTGTAAGTATTTTATAACTTTATCTGTTACATTTTCAGTCTTTGATTCAAAATCTGACAGCTCATCTCCACCATCAGATTGGTGTCTCCCAAATCAGAGACCAAGAGTAACCTTTAATCTCTTGTCATATTTGGAGAGTGACAGTTGCTGCTGTACAAGGTGGTGGAGGATGTGGGGATTTGACTGCTATTTACAGTCTTCTGTGGAGTTCTCCTGTTTTAGTCCCAACCACTTACCTGTCCACAGCATCATTTTCTCCAAGTATTCAAAGGTAATTGTTGCTTCCAATTCCTGAGCCTTGCTAGAATGTTGCAGCACAAACTGAGAGGCTTCTTCCTGGATTCCCCTCTGCAAGCTTTGGTGTCACATTGCTCAGGTCTTCTTAGTCTGCTATATCTTTGGATCTCTTTTTCACTTTTTCAGATGTTGCTGACATTTCATCCAATGTCTTCTCCTTTTCCATTCTCTTGTGTTCATGGAATTTTGCTTTTTAGATGCCCTTAGTGTCATTTTGGGGAGGTTTCAGAGTGAGCAGCAGTAAACACATATGTTCAATCTGCCATGTTAGCCAGAAGTCAGAGACTTTATATGCCCATTTGAACTATTTCAAGTTGTTTTTTTCTATGTATATAAATTATGTATTTTGTATGAGTAGTTATGGACTCAACTAATTAAAACCTAGAGAGGGGGCCTCTGAAAAAAACAATAAAATGATAAGAGATAAAACTAAGAAAGGTTAATCATAAAAAATGAAAGATTTAGAGGCAAAGTCTCTTCAGTGACAATGCCTATTTCAGTAGTCTGCATAGTTGCATTTCTCTGCAGCCTCTGAGATAGTGAATCATCCCTACCATCCTCTCACTCTCACTTTTTGTGCTCAAGGATGCTCCTCACAAGCAAAAATGAACTGTTTATGGGTCAGTAAACTGACATACCTTAAGCAATTTACAACACACAAAGCAAAAAAAACTCCCAAATTTGCAAAAATGCCAAGATATGTACAATTAAAATCAGATTCTTCTTTTTTGCCATGCTTCCTCTTCTCATAGCCCTAGCCACCATCTCCCACTCCATCTATTACACCACTCTGTAGAAGAAAGATATTGGCGAAGCTAGAGCATTCCCTTCCCTCACCAGTCTACAGATAGGGAATTTCATCTCAGTAGAGTTTTTCTTCTCCAGACTCCAGACACTGCCTATCTATCTCAAGTACGTCCTGCTGATAGAAAGCCAGCTTACTGAGATATTATGGAGGGTGGGAGGTCTCTCTAATTTGGGGGCATAAGTCACCTATTTTGAACTGTCAAACACCATAGAACACCAATATATGTATGCCATGTAATATCCCCAAAAAGAAACTAAGAAATGCTCCATCTTCTTTTTCCACATATGTAATCAAATATAGGACTCTCCTCTCCTCCTTCCTTTCTTGTATTTCTTTCCTCCTTTAAGAACCTATTTCTTGGGCTCAAGCTTCCCGAGGAAATCATTCCTTCTTGTCCCAGCTTACCAGGGAAACATTAAGCATTTGCAAGTTCATGTGTCATGGTTGTGATTCTAAACATAATAATTTACATGGTTGACATGGGACAAAGTTAGGGGGCTAGAGTTTCACACAGGGATGAGCACAGAGGACATTTCATTTATCTTGAGGTTTTATACTTTTAAAAATCACAAATTTCAGTTGTGGGTAAATATGGTGATGGACCATTTTCACTCTCACTGTTAGAGTGTCTTGTGGGAAGCATGTTTACTTCTTTGGATGACTTTCCCACCAACAGGAGTACCTGGGGTGGATTATGGGTAACAGCAATAGTAAACTAGTTCCTGGTCCCTAAACCCTAGAGGATCACAGAGTCAGACACTCAGCAACCAGGCCCCTTGCTGTTGCTCAGTTTGTGTTCAGCTCCCCCTGCAGTTCCTGTCACTGTGTCACTCAGAGCACAGTAATACATAGCTGAGTCTGACTCTTGCACTGAGGCTTTCTTCAAGTGGAAGGAGGTGGTTTCCTTACTGTATGTGGCTTCAAAACCTTTGTTGCTTCCCTTCTCGTTGGCCTTTGAGACACTAAAGAGGAGCTGCAGAACTTCACCAGGATACTGAACATACCAGAAAAGAGCAGGGTACTGTTTGGTTTCATAGGAGCAGTTCACAGTTAGGGAAGCCCCTTCAGAGAGGGTCACCTGGCCTTCTGTCTGCATCACCGAGTCTCCATTGCTTCCTCCTGAAAAAAAAATAATAACGATGCATTTCACCTTAGGCATGATCTGGGCTCTTCCTCACTGAGAAAATTGTGGCTAAAGACTGCACTAACATCATGGAGTAAAAAGACTCTAAGATTTAAGTGCCACCTTACTTACCAAGCATTAAGAATAGCACAACCACTGGTCCTGGAGAAGAGTTCATTTTAGAGCCTCTGGTGTCCTTTGGTCTTGACTGCTTAGTGTTAGGAAAGGTTAAGGTCACAGTGAAAGGATGAATTTAAGCTCAGAATTAAAGCAGGAAATGTGTACATGTTAGGAAGATGCACCCCCTTGTGGGCAAGATACTATACTCAGAGGATTTTTACCTGTTCTCCTCTCAAAAGTTAGTCCTACATCTTCATCTCTGGCTTTTTTTCTGAGACACCAGTTATCTGTCTGATGGTCTTTTGTAAAACTAAAGAATAGTTGGTAATTTTCACAAGCCTATTTTGTGAAACCAACACACTGACTGACAAGGAAACTCCATACCATGACATCTTTGAGAAGAATTCGATTTTACTTTTTCTTATTTAGCCATTTTAGGTCACCCAGAAATCCACTGAAATATCATATAAGCAAGCATTAAAATCAGAGGAATGTCAATAACACATGTTTAGTCATTAGTAGATGATTTTGGATGGCAGAGACAAACTTCTTTTTGCTATACTATTTCCACACCTAGAACAATGTCAGACACTTAGCAGGTGGTTAACAAGTATTTCTTAAATGTACAATTAAATGAATGAATGAATGATCTTTGGCTGAGAAATTGCTACTATTTGAAATATCATATTACTTCACATTTAAGACATCAGTTGTAAAAAAATACAATTTAATGAAAAGCTTTTCAAATATGAAAAGAATTCTACATTATATATTTATTAAAAAGTGAAAAATATATAATTCTTTGTATTGAAGAAATTCAGCAATTAAAGTTATTGAATCCCTGTTAAATTGTATCACATTCTTCTCCCCTAGGATTTTAATGATTCCCAGATAATGTGATTGTCCTGTGTGCATCAGACAAAGTGTTCTGATACTAAAGTTTTAATGGAAATTTTGCCTCAACTATGCTCTTTACATATGTCCATTTACCAAAATTTTTGGTCAATAAGGTTTAATAAAATTATTTTCACCTCAGGATAAGATACTCATATAATATGGATTTGTTTCAAAAGACCAAAAGAACGAGCTCAATCTCAATTTCTAGGATTGATAGAAACATGTCTGCTGATGTACAGAATCATTTTCTGGCAAAGGTAAAACTTCTTTGGATATAAGGGTTAGCTGATGATCAACTTTAAAATAAAATTTGGATATTATCCACTTATAAAATCATCATCTATAGAGTTAAAGTCTAGGTAGTTAAAATCACCTCAAGTGGCTTGTGACGCAGCCAGTATTGTACAAATTTACAAAATAATCTTTGGGAACACTGGCCTAAGCAGACAGTCGAGGTCTCAGTGAAATATCTATAGTATCAGCATGGGAAAAACCTCCAATCCTCACATATTTTTAAAACCATTGTCCTTTCGTAGACAGTAGCAAAAATAAATACTGCTTACTCTCATTATTCTTGCCCATTATAACAAAAACGCTGAATGTTCACAAGACAAACTAGGGGAGAAGGATGACTTTTTCCTGCCAAGCCCTCCTAACATTTACCTTTGAACATGAAAGCCAGTTTCATTGTGCTTCCTGAAGCGCTCCCTATCCATGAATTCAGAGGGGGCAGCTACATGGTCCTGCATCAAGGAATAAACAGTAACACATTCCAGACGTGAGTAGAATATTTAGGTCTGGATACTATTTAGGTTTGTGCTCACGTCTCTCTTCCTTTTCTCTCCTTCCTGTGTCAGATCTCTGGGATCAAGCAGTGCCTTCTGCCTTTTCTTTGTTCTTTTGGCCCATGTGTCTAACCTGCCCCACTGGAAGTCTAAGCAGAACACAGAGTGAGCAGCCTCACTCTGCAGGATTTCTTTTACTGTTTCAAGTCAGCCTTCTTTGTGTGCTGTAGCAACCCTCCATTACTTTGAGGGAATCTGTTCTCCACATCATGAGTTCATAAGGAGATGAATATCGTCAAGGAATTGGAGCAGTAGACTTGAGTGGAATGTGGTAGAAATGTATGATCCGTGACAAAGGTTTCCAGCTCATTTAGATTTATTCAGCTGGCCTAACTTCAAGAGCTCAGAACCTCTGCTTCAAGGACTTGGATTTACCCAGATGTGTTGGTCAACAGTCAATCATAAAAGCAGAAACAAATCCAAATATTTTAAGAAGAAAGAAACTTAATATAGGGAATTGAACATACAGCCATTGAAAGGCTGATGAAGCAAGATGAGAACGACCGATTGCAGGAAATTCTGAAATATGACGAATCCAGCTGCCTGTAACACTAAAATGGGTGATTATTAGGAAGAAACCCAGAAGCCAAACAAAGCCACTGCTGGTAATCTGAGCTGCCTGTCCACAGCCCTACAGAACAATACTGGTTTCTCCTTCTCTTACATTTTGCTAATACCATGCAAATGTCTCTCATTTACAGAATCTAAACTAGATGATAAAAAAAAAATAGGGATTGTTGGAAATGTAGTTTAGACTTCTCCTTAGCAAACAAGGGAGTGTATTAAAGGGGATGAGGAAGATGTTCAGTTGACAATGTGCAACACAGCACACCAGTGAACTAAGTCCTTATCTACACCAAGAGAAATGTAGTTTAATCTTAAAGAAACTAGCAGAATTATGTTTTGTAATCATAAGACCTCTGTAATAATTACAGCAGATAGTAGGCGAATGTGGATTAGGACCACTGTAATGTTTTATAAGTTGCCAGTTAGAATTTTTATCATTTTTCAACATAATGGCACTGAACATGAAAAGAACCACTATACATGAAAAGCAGAAATTAAGCTAATGACAAATACGTTGTCTTCTATTCGTACATGAAGGTTTTAAGCCTTTAAGACCTATGAGCTCTAAAGTTGTGCCATATGCACTTAGTAATCTGTTCAATAAATGCTGTTGAATGTGTGGAATAAGTGACACAAGAAATTTGCATTGTCCCTGAAGTAAACAGGGAGACCTTGCTAGTGTGCGTCTGTGACTACCATGTCACAATTAATAAATTTTTTTAAATTCTTAATTCCAGGGCTTCTAGTTCTATCCCTAACTTTTCTTATCCAAATTATCTCATCTATAATAACAACAGTTATTATAACAAGTGGGGTATGGATATTTGCTGCTTGCAGCTGGGTTCCAACCACTCCATCTACTCAGATGTTTTTAATGGTTCCTTAATAAGTATCACTGAATGTCATGATAGAAAAAATTAAGAAAACTCTAGATTGGAAGAATATAATATAAAAGAAGTTAAGTGGCTCTCAGTTTTCTATGGTGGATTATTCTATTGTCAATTTGGTTGCACAGGAAACTGCATTTTGCAAAAATCTCCTGCCACTTGTGATTCTGAAAACAAAAGTTAATTCCTATAAGATTTTGGAAGCAGACAGTAAACAGCAGCCATTAATTATCTTCTGAAGATTGTTGTTGGTTGGATGGTGAAAGACACAGCAGTATTGGCTGTTTCCATTTTGTTCTGGCTCTTCCCTGATGACACCTAACAAGTAACCAACTCCATAGCGCAGAAAATTACCATTATCAGAATACTCCTCAAATGCTGAAGATATTACATAATCTCCTGTAACAACTTACACCTGAACCCCATGCCATTCACCTCAAGGATCGCTTCTGTACCCAGTCTCTTACAATGGGTTCCTCCAGAAGCCAACATTGAAAAAAAGGATTTGGGCAATGCAAGAAACACATGAAGAGAAAAGGGGGTGTGATGCAGACAATATTAAGTGTTTGCAAGAATGTGAGGAAATAATAGTTTTTGATTCATTTTGAAGAGCATTTGGCAATAGCAAGTACATTTTCAAAAGTGCAAATCGTATAACCCAGCAATGCCACTTGCAAGTATATAACACAGAACATTCTGTCCCTTTATATAAGGAGACGTTTGTAATTATATGCCTTGTAGAATTTTTATAAGAATAACAAATTAGAAATATCCCTTGAGTAAAGGAGTAACAAAATGCTTTCTCCTTCTACAAAGGAATTAGGCTAATTTTCTACCTCTCCTCCTCTGGCAACCTGATGAAGGTGGAATGTCGGCTGTATTACTAGATAACATTCTTTAGATAAAAATGATCACTGATTGATAAATGGCATCCAGGCTGTAAATGAACTGTGAATGCTTGGTAGGATGCCATAGCTCCGGGACAATGATTTTAAAGTCTTGTTACAGGAGATATTGATTCCTTTTTGGGACACCTGGCTTCCAAAGCTGGGTGACCTATTTGGTCTTTTTCCCTCACACCTGAGCACTTGACACGAGAAGAGGGGAGGAGGAATTGTAAAAATAATATTCTGTGAACTGTGTGGACAGCTGAGGGACTTATGAGGGAAGCCAATACTTATGTGGCCTATTGAGCTTTGCAAATGTGATTACCTACTTGAACCTAAGACCATATCTGATGGCACCGCACCACCCAAATGTCCATCAGAAAGGGATATATGGTATATTCATAAAATGGGATACTACAGAGCAGTTAAAAGTAATAAAGTATATCTAGATGTATAAATTTTTCTACATCTCAAAAATATTTTTAGTGACAAAAAAGCAAACTCCACAACTATACATACAATGGGGTAACAATCATGTAAATATTAAAAACACAAAATATAGCACCATACATTGTTTATAAACTTATATGTATTAGATATATAAAAACCTGGACTTCAGAAAAAAGTTTATAATAAGTTTTTCTTGAAAAAGGGAGAAAGGGAATAAGACAGGAGAAAAATAAAACAGATGACAATTTTATCTGTAATGTTTTATTTATTTTAAAAAATTAAAACTTTGCATTTAGGTATAATTATATTTATTAACATAAAGAGATATGGATTATATAATATTGTTTTTAAAGATGCTACAATTTGTTCCTATGACAAATATAATTGTGTTAAAATAACTGGGGATTTCTACTTTCTCCTTAATATATTGCCATATTATTCAAAAATTTTCTCAACTATAGAGCAATTACATAAATAAAATCACTTTAATTTCCCAAGCAAGGTTGCTGCTGTGAAAATGCAAAAAGCTTTCCCAGGTGCTTGAAGTCCTTAGTATCTGGAGTTTCATTTCCTTAATACGAAGCTTCACTCAAAAATTTTCTCAACTATAGAGCAATTACATAAATAAAATCACTTTAATTTCCCAAGCAAGGTTGCTGGTGTGAAAATGCAAAAGGCTTTCCCAGGTGCTTGAAGTCCTTAGTATCTGGAGTTTCATTTCCTTAATACGAAGCTTCAGTTCAGAATTAAAAGAAATGGATATTTCTCCTTCTCATACATACTTATAAAGTACCCACTTGCAGACATTTTCGGCCATGAAAGTGAGCTGGTGACCTTAAATCTCGTAACAATAATCAACTTCTCAGAGATAGTAGAGAATGTAACCTGAAGGACAAAGATTAAATAAGCATAAATTGCTTATGAATAATTTTATATGTTTTATCCCATTTCCAGAAATCTTTCAGATGCATATACCACAAATAGCCACATCAATATGACTTGAAAATAATGCTGATCCCTATTGGTGCCCCCTTTGGCTAAGGTAAATCACTGGACACAATTCACTATTAGTCTCTATATCTTTGAATTCCTATAACCTTCATCTCTTACTCAGGACAGTATCAGGAAGTATGCAACAAAAAGCCTGCCTAGGGTTGAATATTACCCCAAAACTTAATCTGCACTGTAACTGTTGAGGTTAGGAAATCCTATTACAGTAATTGAAAGGTGGGGTCTTGAACAGGTGATTAAGTTGATGGTTTAATGGTAGTCGTGGCCATGGTTCTGAGGGCTAAAAGGAGAACACATGAGGAGCTATAGACCCCTGCAATGCTGTAAAGCCACCACCTAAGAAGAACCTCACCAGATGTGTTCCCCGGACTTTGGACCTCCCAGCCTCTGAAACTGTAAGCAATAAATTTCATTTTCTTAGAAATCACCGATTTCCAGGTATTTGGTTACAAGCAATGAAAAAAGAATAATACAAAGCCCAACCCTCCTTCCGCCTTCTCTTTACTTGACTTCAAAGTCATCATTAACCTCAAAGGCTTCAGATACTTAAGTCTTCTTACAGAGTTTTTTTCATCCTAGCCAGAGGAAAGCCATACATCAATCAAGTCCCTTTGACCTTTTAATTCTGATTCCAATACTTAATCAGTATATATTCAGGGGACAGACATTGCTAAACCTTACCCATCATTAATTACAGCAATGTTAAACAGGTGAGAACCAATTTCTAATATTCCAACTGTGCAAATACATGAAAATAAGGATAAAAAAGAAAACAATGTCAGAATTTGAGAGAAACTGGCAAAAGTTACTATTCCACCAATTTTGAAGATTTCTGATGTGGATTTCCAGAATTTAAGATATCAAAAGGATAGTATCAATTTTTGTAATTGAGAAAGATAAAACCAGCTTTACCATAAAATAAATGGGATTTGGCATCTATATTTAGTATCTCCTCTCTCCTTAATAGTCCTTTAAAAAATACTAAATAATTTGAGTTATTTACTCTTCTTTCTGTAATATACCTAAAAAGTTACTAAAATTGACATGAGTACCCTGTGTTCTAAGTCATTCACTATCCCAATCAATCTTCTCCTTCCTAAATGGGGTCACCCCAAAATGAGAGGAAATAACCAGCACTAAGTTCCAACCAGAAAAAAAATCAATCTTCTCCTAAATGGGGTCACCCCAAAATGAGAGGAAATAACCAGCACTAAGTTCCAACCAGAAAAAACATTTTCAAGAAAACTACCTTAACATTGCCAAGTTAGGAAGGCAATACAGAGAAGATGAGCCTACAAAAGGAAGCTCACCTTCTGTTTTGATTACTGAAAGATAAAAATGATGAATGAAAAGCAGAGCTCTCCCATGCCTTGTCACATATCCCATTTCCAACCGCTTAAAGTGCATCAGCCCCACACTGGCCCAGCAAGTCCCTGAGCACCTCCATATGGTGGGATGAGAACACCCTGGCTTCTACTACATCAGAATCCAAACTCTTTCACAAGCAGTTACCCTCCTTAGAACCTCACCAAGTTTGTGTTCAGCTCCCCCTGCACTCCCAGGCACTGTGTCACTCACAGCACAGAAGTACTCAGCGGCGTCACTCAAATGCACAGAGGGTTTCCTCAGGTGGAAGGAAGAGTCACTCTTTCTAAATTCAGCCTCAAAGCCTTTGATGCCTTTAACCAGGGTTTCCCCTGAAAAGTACCCAAGGAGAAGCTGGAGGCCTTGGCTGGGATACTGGACATACCAGAAGAGATAAGGAGTTGTAGCATAGGAATAATTACATCTCAATTCCAGAAAGGCTCCTTCAGAGACTGTGACATGGACATCAGGCTGGGTCACTGACTGTGCTCCGGCATCTCCTGGAAAATCAACATCATATCAGTGAAAGCAATGCAGATTTCACTATGAAAAATATTTCTACTAAAATCTGAAAACAGTTACTTCTGTGGAATGAGGAACCATAATAGAATGTTACTCACTCAGGGCAAAAATCACACCCAGTCCTGGGATGAGCAACAGGAGCATGGCTGAGCAGGGGAGATGCTGCGGGAGTCCTGGAAATTCTCCTCTGAGCAAGCAGGAGAGTGGCTGTGGCGGTCAGCTCCCGGAAATAGGAGGTGTGAGTAAGGTTGGGCTAGACAAGTCCCTTGTTTACGTAAAAATACAAAAACTTCTGAGGTGCTCCTGGGTGCTTTCCGACTCTGCTCCTCCACTTGTGCTGTCTTCAAACAGCTCAGTGAGACAGCTTCAGTCATAGCTGCAGGAAGGAGGGGCTGAGCGGAAGGTGCTGATCTGAGAGGAAACAGGGAGCTCAAGTCTGTTCAACATCACCCTCTGGAGGCCAGATGCAGGACTGAGGGTCCAGACTCCCCACAGAAAGCTCACCTGTGCTGTCCTTCTGTTTAGAGAAGGAAATGAACATGCTTCTTTCTTCCATAATCTGCGCTTTGTCACCCTTTGTAGTCAATTACATTAATCCTAGCTTCAGTAAAAAATGAGGACTGTAAAATAGAGGAGAAATTTACTTGACAGAGAAACTGATCTCACAATAAATCTGTCAGACTTTGGAGTTCATTAGAGCCTTTGTGTAAAAGCAGCTGAGTCATTATTTAAGCAGAAACAATCACATCAACTCCGCTAGGCTGAGCTTCCGATGTCCTTGCTGACAGTGAGCATCAGATCAAGAGGAGAATGTGGTAGGATGTGGAGATAATTGCCTTGGCTGGTGAAATTAAAAATAAAATCAGACCTACAAAATATCAACCTAGAACATGGAAAATGAAGTAAGGTTATCTTTGTCTACTTCAAGCAGAATTACCAAGAGTCAGTGGCTTTAGATCAATAACAATAATAATATAATATTCAGATAAGAAAGAAAATCCCATTGTCATCTGCGCAGAACAAGATGAGTATTTCACACAATTCTGGTTACCACACTATCAAGAGAACATTAACAGATTTGAGCATCTGCCAATGAAACTGAACAGACTCAGATGAAGGCACTGCAAAATAAAGCAAAGAACTTTTGAAGGATTTAAAGACAGAGTAAGATGGCGCCAGCACATGACCAAGCAGATAGGCCTCACCACCACCGGACCCAATCCCCAGCCCGGCTGAGTGCACACTGACCAGAGAGGTGCCCTGCTGGAGAGGCCCAAGATCCGCAGAGACCACATGCCCAGTGGCACCAGTGCACAACCAAGCAGGTAGGCCTCACCGCCGCCGGACCCCCTCCCCAGCCCAGCCAAGTGCTTGCCAATCAGACAGGTGCCCAACCAGAGAGGCCTGAGTCCCATGGAGACCATGTGCCAAAGGAGCCAGCGGGTGAACGAGCAGACTCTGAGGCAGCCATGCCAAATTGGCAGCCCCAGCAGCATCCTAGCCAGACAATAGTGTCGAACCAGTGGACCATGAAATCCCTTGCAACAATGACTAAACATCAAAGGAAAGATACCAAAAATATGAAAAATCAAGGAAGTATACCACCAAAGGGTAAAAACTCACAAACTCTAGATCCTATAGAACAAGAAGCCCTTGAAATGTCAGACAAGGAATTTAGAGTGATAATTCAAAGGAAACTAAATGAGATACAAGAAAATTCAGCTAGACAACATGATGAAATGAGGAAAAGTATACAGGACCTGAAAGAAGAAATGTACAAGGAAATTAATGCCCTGAAAAAGAATGTAGCAGTGCTGGCCGAGCTGAAGAATTCATTCAACGAAGTAAAAAACACAAAAGAGAGTTTAACAAACAGGCTTCCAGAAGCAGAAGAGAGAAATTCTGACCTTGAAGATGGGCTGTTTGAAATAACACAGGCAGACAAAAAAAAAAAGAAAGAAAGAAAGAAAAAAGAATTAAAAACATTGAAGAAAATCTAAGAGAGATATCAGACAACCTTAAGCACTCAAATGTCCAAGTCATGGGTATTCCAGAAGGGGAGGAAAAAGGAGATTGCATTGAAAACATATTCAACAAAATAGTGGCAGAAATCTTCCTCGGTATAGGAAACAACACAGATCTTCAGATTCAGGAAGCTCATAGATCCCTAAACGTATTCAACCCAAAAAGGTCTTCTCCAAGACATGTTACAGTCAAATTGAAAAAACTCAAAGACAAAGAGAGAATCTTAAAAACTGCAAGAGAGAAGAGTGAAATCACCTATAAGGGAGTCCCAATCAGACTAACATCAGACTTTTCATCACAAATCCTAAAAGCCAGAAAGGAATGGGATGATATATTCAAAATACTAAAAGACAGAGATTGCCAGCCAAGATTAACCTACCCTGCATGCTATCCTTCTGAAATGAAGGGCAAATAGTATATTTCTCAGACAAACAAAAACTACAGGAGTTCACTACCACGCGACCACCCATACAAGAAATTCTCAAGGGAGTTCTGGGTTTGGTACCTGAAAAATACCTACCACTGCCATAAAAACTCAAGAAAAATCAAAACCCATTAGTAAAATAAAAATGCCAACAATGAAGAGAAAGAAAAAAAGTTTATCTGCAACCCAAGAAACCAACAAACACAGAAGACAAACAGTAAATCAGAAAGAAAGGAACAAAAG